AGACATCCAGGCTAGGACAGGCAGAGGCTGGGCTCCATTTCCCATCATCACAGTCTGACAATATATGTTACCATCCAACAAGTGTGTCTACCTACAACCCTCGATATCTCCATTTAAGAACCCCTACGATATCATTCGTCTCCATTCACTCCTATCTAACACGCTCCTGCACGCTTGCTGGAATCCAAGCCCCTCGCCCACAAAACCTCCTTTACCCCCTCTTTCCAACCCTTTCGAGGACGACCCCTACCCCTCCTTCCTTCCCCTATAGATTTATATGCTTTCCATGTCATTCTACTTTGATCCATTCTCTCTAAATGACCAAACCACCTCAACAACCCCTCTTCTGCCCTCTGACTAATGCTTTTATTAACTCCACACCTTCTCCTAATTTCCACACTCCGAATTTTCTGCATAATATTTACACCACACATTGCCCTTAGACAGGACATCTCCACTGCCTCCAACCGTCTCCTCGCTACTGCATTTACCACCCAAGCTTCACACCCATATAAGAGTGTTGGTACTACTATACTTTCATACATTCCCTTCTTTGCCTCCACAGATAACGTTTTTTGACTCCACATATACCTCAACGCACCACTCACCTTTTTTCCCTCATCAATTCTATGATTAACCTCATCCTTCATAAATCCATCCGCCGACACGTCAACTCCCAAGTATCTGAAAACATTCACTTCTTCCATACTCCTCCTCCCCAATTTGATATCCAATTTTTTTTATCTAAATCATTTGATACTCTCATCAACTTACTCTTTTCTATGTTCACTTTCAACTTTCTACCTTTACACACATTCTCAAACTCATGCACTAACCTTTGCAATTTTTCTTTAGAATCTCCCATAAGCACAGTATCATCAGCAAAAAGTAACTGTGTCAATTCCCATTTTGAATTTGATTCCCCATAATTTAATCCCACCCCTCTCCCGAACACCCTAGCATTTACTTCTTTTACAACCCCATCTATAAATATATTAAACAACCATGGTGACATTACACATCCCTGTCTAAGACCTACTTTTACCGGGAAGTATTCTCCCTCTCTTCTACACACCCTAACCTGAGCCTCACTATCCTCATAAAAGCTCTTTACAGCATTTAGTAACTTACCACCTATTCCATAAACTTGCAACATCTGCCACATTGCTCCTCTATCCACTCTATCATATCCCTTTTCTAAATCCATAAATGCAATAAATATATAATAAATATAAATGCAATATATATATATATATATATATATATATATATATACATATATATATATATATATATATATATATATATATATATATATATATAATATATATATATATATATATATATGTTATGAATGAAAAGAAGTTGGATGTCCTGGCCCTAAGCGAAACAAAGCTGAAGGGGGTAGGGGAGTTTCGGTGGGGGGAAATAAATGGGATTAAATCTGGAGTATCTGAGAGAGTTAGAGCAAAGAAGGGGTAGCAGTAATGTTGAATGATCAGTTATGGAAGGAGAAAAAGAGAATATGAATGTGCAAATGCAAGAATTATGTGGATTAAAGTAAAGTTGGATGCGAGAAGTGGGTCATAATAAGCGTGTATGCACCTGGAGAAGAGAGGAATGCAGAGGAGAGAGAGATATTTTGGGAGATGTTAAGTGAATGTATAGGAGCCTTTGAACCAAGTGAGAGAGTAATTGTGGAAGGGGACCTGAATGCTAAAGTAGGAGAAACTTTTAGAGAGGGTTGTGGTAGGTAAGTTTGGGGTGCCAGGTGTAAATGATAATGGGAGCCCTTTGATTGAACTTTGTATAGAAAGGGGTTTTAGTTATAGGTAATACATATTTTAAGAAAAAGAGGATAAATAAGTATTACAAGATATGATGTAGGGCGAAATGACAGTAGTTTGTTGGATTATGTATTGGTAGATAAAAGACTGTTGAGTAGACTTCAGGATGTACATGTTTATAGAGGGGCCACAGATATATCAGATCACTTTCTAGTTGTAGCTACACTGAGAGTAAAAGGTATATGGGATACAAAGAGAATAGAAGCATCAGGGAAGAGAGAGGTGAAGGTTTATAAACTAAAAGAGGAGGCAGTTAGGGAAAGATATAAACAACTATTGGAGGATAGATGGGCTAATGAGAGCATAGGCAATGGGGTCGAAGAGGTATGGGGTAGGTTTAAAAATTTAGTGTTAGAGTGTTCAGCAGAAGTTTGTGGTTACAGGAAAGTGGGTGCGGGAGGAAGGAGGAGCGATTGGTGGAATGATGATGTAAAGAGAGTAGTAAGGGAGAAAAAGTTAGCATATGAGAAGTTTTTACAAAGTAGAAGTGATGCAAGGAGAGAAGAGTATATGGAGAAAAAGAGAGAGGTTAAGAGAGTGGTGAAGCAATGTAAAAAGAGAGCAAATGAGAGAGTGGGTGAGATGTTATCAACAAATTTTGTTGAAAATAAGAAAAAGTTTTGGAGTGAGATTAACAAGTTAAGGAAGCCTAGAGAACAAATGGATTTGTCAGTTAAAAATAGGAGAGGAGAGTTATTAAATGGAGAGTTAGAGGTATTGGGAAGATGGAGGGAATATTTTGAGGAATTGTTAAATGTTGATGAAGATTAGGGAAGCTGTGATTTCGTGTATAGGGCAAGGGGAATAACATCTTATAGGAGTGAGGAAGAGCCAGTTGTGAGTGTGGGGGAAGTTCGTGAGGCAGTAGGTAAAATGAAAGGGGGTAAGGCAGCCGGGATTGATGGGATAAAGATAGAAATGTTAAAAGCAGGTGGGGATATAGTTTTGGAGTGGTTGGTGCAATTATTTAATAAATGTATGGAAGAGGGTAAGGTACCTAGGGATTGGCAGAGAGCATGCATAGTTCCTTTGTATAAAGGCAAAGGGGACAAAAGAGAGTGCAAAAATTATAGGGGGATAAGTCTGTTGAGTATACCTGGTAAAGTGTATGGTAGAGTTATTATTGAAAGAATTAAGAGTAAGACGGAGAATAGGATAGCAGATGAACAAGGAGGCTTTAGGAAAGGTAGGGGGTGTGTGGATCAGGTATTTACAGTGAAACATATAAGTGAACAGTATTTAGATAATGCTAAAGAGGTCTTTGTGGCATTTATGGATTTGGAAAAGGCGTATGACAGGGTGGATAGGGGAGCAATGTGGCAGATGTTGCAGGTGTATGGTGTAGGAGGTAGGTTACTGAAAGCAGTGAAGAGTTTTTACGAGGATAGTGAGGCTCAAGTTAGAGTATGTAGGAAAAAGGGAAATTATTTCCCAGTAAAAGTAGACCTTAGACAAGGATGTGTGATGTCACCGTGGTTGTTTAATATATTTATAGATGGGGTTGTAAGAGAAGTAAATGCGAGGGTCTTGACAAGAGGCGTGGAGTTAAAAGATAAAGAATCACACATAAAGTGGGAGTTGTCACAGTTGCTCTTTGCTGATGACACTGTGCTCTTGGGAGATACTGAAGAGAAGTTGCAGAGATTGGTGGATGAATTTGGTAGGGTGTGCAAAAGAAGAAAATTAAAAGTGAATACAGGAAAGAGTAAGGTTATGAGGCTAACAAAAATATTAGGTGATGAAAGATTGGATATCAGATTGGAGGGAGAGAGTATGGAGGAGGTGAATGTATTCAGATATTTGGGAGTGGACGTGTCAGCGGACGGGTCTATGAAGGATGAGGTGAATCATAGAATTGATGAGGGGAAAAGGGTGAGTGGTGCACTTAGGAGTCTGTGGAGACAAAGAACTTTGTCTTGGAGGCAAAGGGGGGAAATGTATGAGAGTATAGTTTTACCAACGCTCTTATATGGGTGTGAAGCATGGGTGATGAATGTTGCAGCGAGGAGAAGGCTGGAGGCAGTGGAGATGTCATGTCTGAGGGCAATGTGTGGCGTGAATATAATGCAGAGAATTCGTAGTTTGGAAGTTAGGAGGAGGTGCGGGATTACCAAAACTGTTGTCCAGAGGGCTGAGGAAGGGTTGTTGAGGTGGTTCGGACATATAGAGAGAATGGAACGAAACAGAATGACTTCAAGAGTGTATCAGTCTGTAGTGGAAGGAAGGCGGGGTAGGGGTCGGCCTAGGAAAGGTTGGAGGGAGGGGGTAAAGGAGGTTTTGTAGTGCGAGGGGCTTGGACTTCAGCAGGCTTGCGTAAGCGTGTTTGATAGGAGTGAATGGAGACGAATGGTTTTTAATACTTGACGTGCTGTTGGAGTGTGAGCAAAGTAACATTTATGAAGGGGTTCAGGGAAACCGGCAGGCCGGACTTGAGTCCTGGAGATGGGAAGTACAGTGCCTGCACTCTGAAGGAGGGGTGTTAATGTTGCAGTTTAAAAACTGTAGTGTAAAGCACCCTTCTGGCAAGACAGTGATGGAGTGAATGATGGTGAAAGTTTTTCTTTTTCGGGCCACCCTGTCTTGGTGGGAATCGGCCAGTGTGATAATAAAAAAAATAAAAAAATATATATATATGTATATATAGCAATGAAACCACGAAGCAAGTGGTGAATCATTTACCAAACTGCGGCAGACTAGGATTCGACCCCACGGCACATTGCTGCACCTCAAGAGACAACACAACATACATGCCACCTTATCCACTCGGCCATCGATCCTACAAGGATCGTTTGGTAAATGATTCAAAACCTCTTTCGTGGCTTCATTATCATATAGACGGCTTGTGGAGGCGGGTATCCAAACAGAAGGAGGCTGAAATTAATTCTTGAGCATACCACTGCCACGAGTGTCCTCGGATTACGAAAAACACCTAGCTCTGCTGGGTGTGTGATCTTTGTAGGATCGATTTGCGAGTGGATAAGGTGACATGTATGTTGTGTCTCTTGAGGCGGGACAATGTGTCGAGGGCTCGAACCCTGGCCTGCCGCAGTTTGGTAAATGAGATATATATATATATATATATATATATATATATATATATATATATATATATATTATATATATATATATATATATATATATATAATATTCTACCTTAGTATGGAGGCTCTGTCTGGGCAAGTGAGAAGGCTTGAAGAATCCCGACGATCTCTCACTGTGAAGGGACTCAAGTCGCCCAGGGAGATCCCACTTAATTTTCTTGCTATGGCGATAGGCACGTCAGGCTCGGCAGCTGCTGGGTCGTCGATGGGATGTGAGCCACAGAAGGAGGTCTCCAGCAGCATGCAGGACGGTGAGGGAGATCGCCCGCCCATCGAACCCGCGTCTGACCCTAGCGACGACAGCCGGCTTCTGCGGCCCACTTGAGGAGGTAGCAGGAAGTCTGACCAGTTGTCCGGGATGGGTGATCTTCGCTCCATTAGCCCCTGTTCGGATGATAACGAGGATAACCGGTTGATGCAGTCGTTTACCGGCGCTAGTAACCGCTCGAGGTCGGAGTTCTCGTACTCATCTCCCTCCTTCTTGATCTCTTCTATTCTTTCTCTGACAGTAGTGAGGTCTTCGCTTGACGAGGGGCTCGTTGGCTTATCACTGTCAGATGAGTGATCAGAGTTGTCGCCTTTATCAGGAGTTGATGCCTCTGACAGCGCCTGCCCATTGTCAGAGTCTTGGTCTTGGAGATGCAACGGTTCGGGAAGTGATGGAGGTAGTTTGCGAGTCGGAGTCTCTTCTTCACTCGTTTTCTCTTGTATTCGTTGCTCTTCAGTTTGTGGCTTGAACTGAGGCGTTTCTTTACGTTCTTGCATATCTTTCTGTCGCAGTTGTGCTTGATGCCTAGGGGGAACTGTCTTGATCTGACGCACTGGTTTAAGTACTATATCAGGCATCTCGTCGAAATTAATCCAACTTTTGATTTGCTCTGGTTGAGATTTAGTTTCGACCTCCGCTGGTTTAATGACGGCCTCGGGTGTGGTTATGGGAGACCGGGCTGGTGAGCGAACTTTGGGAGGTAGAGGGGGAGGTATATCCTCTGAACTTTGTAGGCTCCTTTCCCTGTATTCTTTTCTCAGGGTCCTTGGACTCTTCAAACCTTCCTGACAGAAGTCTTCCCAGGCCTTGGAGCTCTGTCGTTTTGGCAGAACCTTAGGTGGTCCTGTTTGTGGTATATTGATCATTATTTTATCAGGTTCTCCCTCTGGCGTGCCAGCTACTTGTTTATACTCCTCTAGACGCCCTGTTATTAAAGGCGTAGTGCTACGAGGTCTCTCTATGGATTGAGTATGACGCATTGTTGTTGCACGTTCTTTGACAGGTATCATAGGAGCAGCTAGTGGGCGCTCCATAGGCAGAGTGGTGGGTACATAGGGAAGCTCACCATCTTCAAGAGAGTCCTGGGAGACGAGGCCCTTATTCTCGACATCAGGGGACTCCAGGCTCTCCTCAGTTCCCTGTTGTTGACTGGCTTTTCTCTTAAGATATTCAATTTCTGACTCGCGTTCTGATTCTGATCGCGAATCTCCATCGACACTTTGATCCTGCGCCGGGGCCTCCAGTGTCAACTCAACATCACTTGTGCGATCCTTCTGCTTGGGAGGTAAGTTCGGCTTATCGCCTTCAGGAACATCGACGTCATTTTCTTTAACTTCACTGGGGATACTTGGAGGAGGCGGAATATCAGGGGGAGGAGGAGAAGGAGGAGGTAGAGATGGAGGAGGAGACGTCTGGGATGGTTTTTCAAATAATTCGTCTGTTATTATTTCGCTTTTCTCTGGCAGTCCATTCTCTTTAGCTTCTTCTACTATGATTGCATCACTACTTGGTTTATTGTCTCCTGTCATAATAGAAGAAAGTTCATTATAAGAGCTATCCCTCGAGCTGATAAGAGCTTCTGGTTTGGGAGTCTCCGGTTCCGCTGACACTTGAACTCCTTTCAGCGGTTCCTTTATCGCCTTGTTGACTTCACTCTCTTGTCTTATCAACCCAAATGACGAAGACTGATATTTTCCATCGTCGTTGAAGGTGAACTCAACATTGGTGATTGCCTCACTAAGCTTACTGTCTGCAGGGATTGCACGAGTGTCTGCGCTGGGTTTGCCTTTGTCAGCTTCAGTTTTCTTTTTAGTCTTCGGTCGAAAGATAGACAAGACGCTTCTCCTGTCATGAGTGTCGTCTTCAAGATCTCTCTCGCGGCTTTTACTACGGCTTCGAGATCGACTTCTTGACCGAAACTCTTTCTTTGCAGACCTGATGAACTGACTGAACGGACTTTTACGGCCACTAGAGCCAGGTGAGTCCGGAGTGACAGGACTCAAGACGCTACTGTCAGATTTACGAAACAGATTTGTAAATGAGCTTTTTCTCGATACTGACGGCGATGAAGAGCCGCTTTCCACTTCGTCTCTCGTTCTTCGTCTCCTGGATGCTCTGGGTGAAGCCGACGGAGTTGTAGAGAAGGAGCGAGCGTGGTGGTACTCCGGTGTCGTGGCAGGAGCAGCAGTCGATGAAGCCGCAGAGGGTGTCGGCGACGGTCGAGGCAGATCCTTCAAGTCTGGCACCTGAGGGACAGCAACTTTCTTGGGCATCCTTGGTGACCGCGGAGATGACTGAGAGGAAAGCGGCTGTCGCTGTTGTTGCTGGGTCTGTTCTAGCTGTTGCGTTTGTTCAATGTGTAAAGGAGATTTAGGTAGCTGTGTTGATTTATGCTCTTCTGGAGGTTTAGGAATGGCAGTGGTGATGGGTTTTTTCGCTTCGGCGTTAACCTCGATCTCGATCGGAGGTGGTTTCTTTTTGGCAGTCGTGGCCACCACTCTTACGGAAGGCGGCGCTGATCTGATGCCAGAAACCTCAATTTTTGTGATAGGCACCTCTACTGTTGCTACCACCTCCTCTTGTTTGAGTCGCGGTAACGTGGATGGAGATGTACGAAATATATCAGGTGGCTTTGCTTCCATTGGAGATCTAACTCGCTCTATTGACTCAATTGCGAAGTCCATTAATCTAGTGGTACTAACAGGCGGGTCTTCAAAATCAATACTAGGCTGTTGGATGGGGCGACTACCACAAAAGGAAGTTTCTAAAAGCATGCGATGAGGAGAAGGAGAGCGCCGCGTAGAGCCTATGGAGCCTAGAGAAGACAGTCTACTCGAGTGACCACTGGTGACGGGAAGGAGGCCATCGCTGATCACTGACGAAGAGGAGCCTTTACGGTTGAGCTCAGCAACACGCAACACTTCTTCCCGTCTCTCCAACTCCGCCAGCTTGCATGCGCGCTCTCTTCTGCGCCGCTGTTGTTCTTCTTCGTCCCCATCCAACTCCTCCGTGCTCGAGTGCAAATCTGCAGCCATGTTTTCACAGAAATCAGATTTAGCGTAACCTGAAAAGAGCTCTTTTTCTGGCGTTGACTCTTTGGAGTCGGTCTCGTGAGGCGAGGAAGATGATGCCGCGGAAACGCGAATGCTGGGCGAAGTGGGAACGCTAAGAGCGGCCGTTGCTACGGGAGTCACGGGCGTGGTCGCCCCTGATGTCTCTTCACCAATTTCTGGAAGCTGAGTCCGTTCCTCAGGGCTGGAGTCCGACGTGGTCTTGTCCATGCTGAGGTCCTCGAATGAGGCGAGGGGCGCGGGGCCCATCCGCCGCTGCCGGGACGGGAAGCTAGACAGCCGCTGCCGTCCCGCGTCTGACAGATGTCGTTTGGCGGAGTCCATGCTGTCGGGCGGGGGGTGGCCGCGGCTGCTGCTGCTGGTGCAGCTGCTGGGGGCGGTGGTGGTGGCCATGGCGGAGGTGTGGGTGTGAGGGCTGGGGGTGTGTCATGTGCAAGGTTACAGCGTCACGTCTTGGCAGCGGGCGGGCCGTCCCGCTTGTTTACAGTCTCAGCTCCACCACTGCCGGCACGCTCCCACCTGCCGGAATAATCAAACAGGTAGTAAAATACAAATCAAAATACCCTCCCTGGCTGCAACAATGGACAACTAACTCACAAACTGGATAGGAAAATTAGACCCAGTAGTAAGGTTTCATTCCGACCTGGACCATTACAATTAACCAGGGACGAAGACAATAACACTTCACACAATTTCGGTCTCCCTTCCTATGGAACATTGCACAGGCTATCCTACAATTTGTCTGAGTCTTTACAAACCGTCAAGATTATTTAAAAAATAAGTCATATTTAGGTAAAAAAGTACAAACATAAGAATCATAGACGAAGTTTTCCTTTACATCTCCCCCCTCCCTTCCCTCCCCCTTTATGCTCCCCCTCCACCCCCTCCGGAAAACCTTACTGGGAACGCAAGTAACACTGATATTAAAAACGGATTATCTTAGGTTGGGTAAGATATGTCAGGAAGCTGGACGAGTGTCTCCTGACGCGGGTCTTTTGTCATATGATGACCCCTACCGCTGGAGTTTTTGGTCATCTGACCGAAGCCTTCAGTTGGCTTACCGGTCCAACACCCCCCCCCCCCTCCACTGGATAAGATGTGGCCGGAAACACCAACTAATGTGAAATAAGACACATGGCCAGCATCTGGATGTTTCTTACTGTAAATAAGACGCCAAGATAGCTCGCCCACGCAGAACAATAAATTGAACGTGAACAACAATGGCCGATTTTCCATACGTTGCAAGCACTCACAGTAAAAATATCAATAATAACATTTCTTGACATATTTAACGCAAGAATGAAATTTTGCATTCTCGGGAATCCATTTTTTTTTTCAAAATCCCTCTCTGTAAACAATGAAATATAATCTATAATTAACATATAAGACTATACTGGAAGAACTGTTGAAGTTTCTGAAGGAAATTTACGTTTTAGCTTAGCTCTTTTGATTCAAGGAACTGGATCAAAACTGGTTACCTTCTACTTTCCCCAGACAACATATGACCCCTACGGGCTTAGCACTTCCCCGTGAATTTTGCTAGTGTACGCGGGTGACTGACAACTTCAGGCGTGTCGAAGATACTTAGAAGGTGGAATCTTTTAGAGTTAGACAGACGACGTTTCACATTACTTTTAGACCTCTTTAGGGCCTAATCAGTGTTATTTAGGGCGAAACGTACTGCAATAAAAATACACGGCTCTGTGTTTTGCGTTGATAGTGTTTTGTCTTGCTAGTACCGTGTTTTATCTTGCTAGTACCGTGTTTTATCTTGCTAGTACCGTGTTTTATCTTGCTAGTACCGTGTTTTGTATGCTAGTACCGTGTTTTGTCTTGCTAGTACAGTGTTTTGTCTTGCTAGTACCGTGTTTTGCCTTGCTAGTACAGTGTTTTGTCTTGCTAGTACCGTGTTTTGTCTTGCTAGTACAGTGTTTTGTCTTGCTAGTACCGTGTTTTGTCTTGCTAGTACCGTGTTTTGCCTTGCTAGTATCGTGTTTTGTCTTGCTAGTACAGTGTTTTGTCTTGCTAGTACCGTGTTTTGTCTTGCTAGTACCGTGTTTTGCCTTATTAGTACCGTGTTTTGCCATGCTAGTACAGTGTTTTGTCTTGCTAGTACCGTGTTTTGCCATGCTAGTACAGTGTTTTGTCTTGCTAGTACAGTGTTTTGCCATGCTAGTACAGTGTTTTGTCTTGCTGGTATCGTGTTTTGCCATGCTAGTACAGTGTTTTGTCTTGCTAGTACCGTGTTTTGCCTTGCTAGTATCGTGTTTTGTCTTACTAGTACAGTGTTTTGTCTTGCTAGTACCGTGTTTTGTCTTGCTAGTACCGTGTTTTGCCTTATTAGTACCGTGTTTTGCCATGCTAGTACAGTGTTTTGTCTTGCTAGTACCGTGTTTTGCCATGCTAGTACAGTGTTTTGTCTTGCTAGTACAGTGTTTTGCCATGCTAGTACAGTGTTTTGTCTTGCTGGTATCGTGTTTTGCCTTGCTAGTGTCATGTGGGATGTCTTGTCTCAAAGGTCTCTATTCGCTGTCTGACCACTACAAGGGGAGTGACTGTTCCTGACCGCAATAACTAATAATTAATATATTAATAATAATAATCATAATAATAATAATAATAATGAAATAATAAATAATAATAATAATAATAATAATCCATAAGCTTTCCACCACCACGCATATATTTTCCCAGACAGCGAGGGGAACGTCAATACAGCACTTCTACCCCAGGCTACATCCACTTGCAGGGGTAGGCACCACTGATGTTTCCTGCCCCAGACAACATCCACTTGCAGGGGTAGGCACCACTGATGTTTCCTGCCCCAGGCTACATCCACTTGCAGGGGTAGGCACCACTGATGTTTCCTCCTCCAGGCTACATCCACTTGCAGGGGTAGGCACCACTGATGTTTCCTCCTCCAGGCTACATCCACTTGCAGGGGTAGGCACCACTGATGTTTCCTCCCTCAGGCTACATCCACTTGCAGGGGTAGGCACCACTGATGTTTCCTCCTCCAGGCTACATCCACTTGCAGGGGTAGGCACCACTGATGTTTCCTGCCCCAGACTACATCCACTTGCAGGGGTAGGCACCACTGATGTTTCCTGCCCCAGACTACATCCACTTGCAGGGGTAGGCACCACTGATGTTTCCTCCTCCAGGCTACATCCACTTGCAGGGGTAGGCACCACTGATGTTTCCTCCCTCAGGCTACATCCACTTGCAGGGGTAGGCACCACTGATGTTTCCTCCTCCAGGCTACATCCACTTGCAGGGGTAGGCACCACTGATGTTTCCTGCCCCAGACTACATCCACTTGCAGGGGTAGGCACCACTGATGTTTCCTGCCCCAGACTACATCCACTTGCAGGGGTAGGCACCACTGATGTTTCATGCCCCAGGCTACATCCACTTGCAGGGGTAGGCACCACTGATGTTTCCTCCCCCAGGCTACATCCACTTGCACGGGTAGGCACCACTGATGTTTCCTGCCCCAGGCTACATCCACTTGCAGGGGTAGGCACCACTGATGTTTCCTCCTCCAGGCTACATCCACTTGCAGGGGTAGGCACCACTGATGTTTCCTGCCCCAGGCTACATCCACTTGCAGGGGTAGGCACCACTGATGTTTCCTCCCCCAGGCTACATCCACTTGCAGGGGTAGGCACCACTGATGTTTCCTCCTCCAGGCTACATCCACTTGCAGGGGTAGGCACCACTGATGTTTCCTCCCTCAGGCTACATCCACTTGCAGGGGTAGGCACCACTGATGTTTCCTCCCTCAGGCTACATCCACTTGCAGGGGTAGGCACCATTGATGTTTCCTGCCCCAGAATACATCCACTTGCAGGGGTAGGCACCACTGATGTTTCCTGCCCCAGACTACATCCACTTGCAGGGGTAGGCACCACTGATGTTTCCTGCCCCAGACTACATCCACTTGCAGGGGTAGGCACCACTGATGTTTCCTGCCCCAGACTACATCCACTTGCAGGGGTAGGCACCACTGATGTTTCCTGCCCCAGACTACATCCACTTGCAGGGGTAGGCACCACTGATGTTTCCTGCCCCAGGCTACATCCACTTGCAGGGGTAGGCACCACTGATGTTTCCTGCCCCAGGCTACATCCACTTGCAGGGGTAGGCACCACTGATGTTTCCTGCCCCAGGCTACATCCACTTGCAGGGGTAGGCACCACTGATGTTTCCTGCCCCAGGCTACATCCACTTGCAGGGGTAGGCACCACTGATGTTTCCTGCCCCAGACTACATCCACTTGCTGGGGTAGGCACCACTGATGTTTCCTGCCCCAGGCTACATCCACTTGCAGGGGTAGGCACCACTGATGTTTCCTGCCCCAGACTACATCCACTTGCAGGGGTAGGCACCACTGATGTTTCCTGCCCCAGACTACATCCACTTGCAGGGGTAGGCACCACTGATGTTTCCTGCCCCAGACTACATCCACTTGCAGGGGTAGGCACCACTGATGTTTCCTGCCCCAGGCTACATCCACTTGCAGGGGTAGGCACCATTGATGTTTCCTGCCCCAGGCTACATCCACTTGCAGGGGTAGGCACCACTGATGTTTCCTGCCCCAGGCTACATCCACTTGCAGGGGTAGGCACCACTGATGTTTCCTGCCCCAGACTACATCCACTTGCTGGGGTAGGCACCACTGATGTTTCCTGCCCCAGGCTACATCCACTTGCAGGGGTAGGCACCACTGATGTTTCCTGCCCCAGACTACATCCACTTGCAGGGGTAGGCACCACTGATGTTTCCTGCCCCAGGCTACATCCACTTGCAGGGGTAGGCACCACTGATGTTTCCTGCCCCAGACTACATCCACTTGCTGGGGTAGGCACCACTGATGTTTCCTGCCCCAGGCTACATCCACTTGCAGGGGTAGGCACCACTGATGTTTCCTGCCCCAGACTACATCCACTTGCAGGGTAGGCACCACTGATGTTTCCTGCCCCAGACTACATCCACTTGCAGGGGTAGGCACCACTGATGTTTCCTGCCCCAGACTACATCCACTTGCAGGGGTAGGCACCACTGATGTTTCCTGCCCCAGGCTACATCCACTTGCAGGGGTAGGCACCACTGATGTTTCCTGCCCCAGGCTACATCCACTTGCAGGGGTAGGCACCACTGATGTTTCCTGCCCCAGGCTACATCCACTTGCAGGGGTAGGCACCACTGATGTTTCCTGCCCCAGGCTACATCCACTTGCAGGGGTAGGCACCACTGATGTTTCCTGCCCCAGACTACATCCACTTGCTGGGGTAGGCACCACTGATGTTTCCTGCCCCAGGCTACATCCACTTGCAGGGGTAGGCACCACTGATGTTTCCTGCCCCAGACTACATCCACTTGCAGGGGTAGGCACCACTGATGTTTCCTGCCCCAGGCTACATCCACTTGCAGGGGTAGGCACCACTGATGTTTCCTGCCCCAGGCTACATCCACTTGCAGGGGTAGGCACCACTGATGTTTCCTGCCCCAGACTA